GCAGCAGGGCTTGGCTGCCCACGAGCACCAGGGGGCGCTGGGCCCGGCTCAGCAGCTCCGAGCAGAGCTGGACCTGGGATTAAAGCCGGGATTAACCCGGGATTAACCCGGGATTAACCCCAAACCAGCCGGGATTAACCCCAAACCAGCCGGGATTAACCCCAATGAGTCAGGATTAACCCCAAAACCTGCCTGAGAAAGCCCCAAAATCCTTCAAACAACCCCAAAACCCGACCCCAAATCCTTCCTAAAATCCTTCAGTCCCACCCCAAAAACCCCGATCCCAAAACCCCACAAAAAACCCCCAAAACCCCATAAAAGTCCTTAATCCACCCCAAAACCTGATCCCAAATCCACCCCCAGAACCCCTTAATCCCACCCCAAAAACCCGATCCCAAACCCACCCCAAAATCCTTCAAACAACCCCAAAACCCCATAAAAATCCCATCCAAAACCCCAACAAAAAAATCCCCAAAACCCCAAAAAATCAACCCCAACCCCCCTCCCCAAAAAGCCCCATAAAACGCCTCAATCCACCTCAAAAACCCCATCCTAAACCCCACAAAACCCCCCAAAAAACCCCAAAAATCAACCCCAAAACCCCCTCAAATCCCACTCCAAAAAACCCAATCCCAAAACCCCACAAAAACCCCTTAAAAACCAAAAACCAACCCCAAGAAAACCCCCCAAAAATCTCCACAAACACACCCAAAAATCCCCTTAAAAATCCCTAATCCCCAGTTTTGGGGTTTTTTTCCCCAATTTTGGTTTGTTTTTGTTTTTGGGGGTTTTTTTCCCAGTTTTGGGGGGGGTTTCCCCCAGTTTGGGGGGTTTTTTCCCCAATTTTTTGGTGTTTTTGCCCCGTTTTTGGGGTCGCACCTGCTGGGGGGTGGCTCTGGGGACGCCCAAAAACCCCGATCCCAAACCCACCCTAAAAACCCCCAAAAACCCCAAAATCTGACCCCAAAAACCCCAAAAAATCAACCCCAAAACCCCCCAAAACCCCNTCCCAGTCCCTCCCAGTTCCATCCCAGTCCCATCCCAGTTTAATCCCAGTCCCTCCCAGTCCATCCCAGTCCCTCCCAGTCAATCCCAGTCCCTCCCAGTCCCTCCCAGTCCCTCCCAGTTCCATCCCAGTCCATCCCAGTCCCTCCCAGTCCATCCCAGTCCATCCCAGTCAATCCCAGTCCATCCCAGTCCCTCCCAGTCCCTCCCAGTCTCACCACAGCTCCTCAGCGGGGGTTGGGGGCAGCAGGGCTTGGCTGCCCACGAGCACCAGGGGGCGCTGGGCCCGGCTCAGCAGCTCCGAGCAGAGCTGGACCTGGGATTAAAGCCGGGATTAAAGCCGGGATTAACCCGGGATTAACCCGGGATTAACCCAAACCAGCCGGGATTAAACCCGGGATTAACCCCAAACCAGCCGTGATTAACCCCAATGAGTCAGGATTAACCCCAATGAGTCAGGATTAAACCCGGGATTAACCCCAAACCAGCCGGGATTAACCCCAATTAATCAGGATTAAACCCGGGATTAACCCAAACCAGCTGGGATTAACCCCAAAGACCTGGGATTAACCCGGGATTAACCCCAAACACCTGGGAGGGATTAACCCCAAACCAGCTGGGATTAACCCAAATGAGTCAGGATTAAACCCGGGATTAACCCAAACCAGTCAGGATTAACCCCAAAACATGCCTGAGAAAGCCCCAAAATTCTTCAGTCCCACCCCAAAACCCGACCCCAAATCCATCCCAAAAACCCCAATCCCAAAACCCCACGAAAATCCCCCCAAAAATAAAAAAAATCAACCCAAAAAACCCCATTAAACTCCCCAAATCCACCCCAAAACACGACCCCAAATCCACCCTAAAACCCCATCCCAAACCCACCCCAAAATCCTTCAAACAACACCAAAACCTGGCCCCAAATCCACCCCAAAAACCCAATCCCAAAATCCCCCAAAAAATCAAAAAAATCAACCCCAAAAACCCCATGAAACCCCCCAAAACCACCCCAAAATTCTTCAATCACACCCCAAAACCTGACCCCAAATCCACCCCAAAATCCTTCAATCCACCCCAAAAATCAGATCCCAAATCCACCCTAAAACCCCTCAATCCCACACCAAAAAACCCAATCCTAAACCCCACAAAACCCCCCCAAAAAACCAACCTAAAAAACCCCAAAAAACCCTTAATGCACCCCAAAACCTGACCCCAAACCCGCCCCAAAAACCCCCCAAAAAACCAAAAACCAACCCAGAAATCCCACAAAAAACTCCACAAAAATCCCCTAAAACCCCCCCAAAAAATCCCCCCAAAATCCCAAATCCCCAATTTTGGGTTTTTTTCCCATTTTTGGGGTTTTTTTCCCCGTTTTTGAGGTCGCACCTGCTGGGGGGTGGCTCTGGGGACGCCCAAAAACCCCGATCCCAAACCCACCCTAAAACCCCCAAAAATCAACCCCAAACCCCCCAAAAAACCCCAAAATCAACCCCAAAAACCCCAAAACCTGACCCCAAAATTCCAAAAAACCCCATAAAACCCCTAAAAATCCCCAAAACCCCAATCCTAAAACCCCACAAAATCCCAATAAAAATTCCAAAAACCAACCCAGAAAACCCCACAAAAAACCCTAAAAACCCCC